CTGAATGTGATGAAGAACTTCATGCTGATGGAAAAAGAAAAAATAAACTACAATGCCTTTATTAAATCTACATCTAAAATTTACTGCAAAATTATGTTTGTGTTTACTATTTTCGTTAAATTACATTTTCTTCTTGCTCATTTGCTCATCACGGTAATAGATATATAATTATTTCTTTCACTTTGCTTGCTATTCAACTGGTAACTGTCGTGTAACATACTACCTAATAATTTAATTGAATTTAGCCACTTAAATAAATATCATCAAGAAATCCAGCAATTGCAACCAATTTATTCGGCTCCCTCTGCAGACGCGATCCTTGTATAAGAATATTCACAGGATGCGAAAGCATTAGCCCGAAAAGCGTATCAAAGACGGTTCTTTAAGGGTTAATGAAATTATTGAAAGAAATATTATTTCACGTTACGCATCAAACATAAATGGATATTATAGAGAGGATAATTATTCGGAAAATTTCGAGTCCACTGAATCGGTTAAGTTGTAAGTAGATAAACTTCTTTGCGATAAAGCGGAGAAATGCGACTGTGCGTAATAAAGAAAAACACTCAACGGAGGAAATTAATGTGCAAATTAACGCCATCGGTACCTGATGCTCAAGTATAGCTACTTTAACATACACGTTTCCATTGATTTCCAATCATATGTTCAATGTTATAAGCTCTGGATACATGCAAGTTCTAAACATCCTGTACATGAACAATCTTCGCGTTTCGTCCTTGTTTTTTTTTCTAATTTAAAAATTGTTAACGGTCGTCGCGCCGCGATCGCATTTCGACCAAGCAAGCCGTGAAACAACGTGGTAGATGCGAAATTGTTTCGCCTCTCCTTAAACTGTTTCATGGAAGCGATTAGAATCCAGCCAACTGCGATCTAATGTTGTTATCCCGAAAATTGTCACCGCTGTCGTTGATGGAAATTCATGTTTATGTATACATTTTATACCTGCGATGTCGAGGAGCGAAAAAAGAGTAACAAAGACGTGGCTGCGTCAAAATGGGAATTATACTTCGCCGCCATTCGCTCCAATTTATGACCAAACGGCTCCAACTATACTATGTAGTTTGGTAAATTGGACAGATTAAGTAAATTGAACAAATTTTTAAAAACAACCATATCTTACTAATTGTAATTCCTTGTGTGTAAGGATCAAAACATAAGTTTAAACATTAGGTAATAGGCAAATTAGTGATTTTGGAAAATATACTTTTTGAGAGTGAAATACAAAGAAATTCCTGTAGGAATAGGTTTTCCAGATTTTTCCATCAGTTCCCTCATCTCCGCGCCTCGGCAAAAACGGATTAAAGCGAACAACAGTCATCACGATTAATAACACTTTAGGAAAGAAAACTCGGTGAAATTCATTTAGCGACATCATCTAGCGAAACTCAATTAACAATCAGCCGCGATTGTTGGTAGACAAAGGCGGAGAAAAGAACGGTCTATGCGCCGTACAAAAGGCATAAAAACCCGCCACCAGATAACATTATATTCGCATTGTGGCGGCGGCGGCGGCGGTAACGGTCGCCCTTAGAGAGGCGAACGCAGTGATAACAGTTCTTTTTCTCTACATTGTACTCTTTGTGTGTATGTAACAATTTTCCAGCTCCCGCTTTTATAATTGCACTCAATTCTTTACTATACCTATTGATCGATTTATTTCATATGACACTATAAAGATCTATCCAAAAGGTATTAAAAAAACTCCTTATTTTGGACCAATAGTATCAACCTTACTACAAATTAATACAGTACTTAAATCTGCTTTAGTAAAACTTATTATTATTGGAACGTTTTGATCATAAAGGATGCAAAAAAACAAGCAAAAAATAAAAAAAATCATCCACCTCTAGCATCGTTATCGCGAAGATTCCTTCATTTCCGGCACCTCGGTGCTCCTGACGCTGCTGCGGCAACACTGATAACTAGATATCGCCGGCATTCCGACCACTTTATCTCCAGAAAGAATAAGAAAACGCCTCAGAATGGACCATTATGTTACGTATAGTAAATCCTATTATACAGAGGGCGTTATCTCGCGAGGCAAGCCCGTATACTTTATCACTATCTGAAGCACGTGCGCCTGAGCTATAAATCGCGCGCTCGTAGCGCAATCATGAGCGCGCCTACTCGTTAGCGCTTCCAATATAATTCGAAGAAACATGGAACCGCTGGGTATTATTCGAATATTTATGGATGGGAATTAGTGGAAGAAATTGAGGTTTTAAGCTCATGGTGTATACAGGACGAGGTAATCATGACAAGCGCGTTCATGAAGGACTCCTCAGGAGCATCCAGTTTTTGTAAATAAACCTTCTAGAAAGTACCCTATTGAAGCGTTAGTTCTTGTTTGATCCATCTCTAAGTTTCTTTAGTGTTTTGTAGAAAATATAGGTAGGTGGGATTTATGAAAAAAAACATAAAAAAGGTATGGAAATGGTGCGCCTCTGCCAATGTCGAAAACAATTTAAAAGGTGGTAAAAGAGCTTAAAAAAGCGTTCACGTGCCTTAACCACATAAACAGTGCTAACGAAAATGTCGACAAAACGGAGATCAAATGGGTTGCTCACTTTATATTTTAAATTTATTACGACACTGTTTTCCTTTTCTTTTCTCCTTCAACCAAGCCAGGTCATTTCTGGCGCGTCATTATCAGAAATTCTCACCTATAACGGGCAATTTGCGGCGCAAAGTTGTTACTGATTATTCTTCTTTCAGTCGTAAAAATGAAAACGAAAACGGCGCTTTTAATCGATCATTTCGGGATTTTACTAACATGAGTTCTAATATAATCGGCAAAAATAATAAAAATACCTATAATTATAACTTATAACCTTTAATTAATATGCCCACAAAAGCAAAATAATGTTATAGTTCCTATCGCCTTAAATTAGGGGTGTTTTATATAAAAACAAATCAGCAATGAAAAACAGCGAGCGAATATTAAAGTTAATGGAATTAAATGGATTGGATGGTCTTTCGAGAGTCGCAGTCAATAAAACTTTTGACGCGAATACTTTTCCCCTCGACCGATGAGAAACAAATACATCGAAGGGCACAATTAAATTTCCACTATCCAGGAAAATGGAAAAATAACGCACTCGATGCTAAAAAAATATCGAACAGTAAAGCAAACAGCTATGAACAAATAAATTCAAAAATCGTTTTTTTTTCACGTTCCTTTAGGTACATTTGGTTCCTGTTGAGGGAAGTATTGGATTGAATAACAACTAGTATATGTATAAGGAAATTAATCAGATAAATCAGATTTAGGTATAATTAGTTTTAGAACGTTGCTAATTATTCTTTCGTAAATTATTTATTCGCAAGAAAAATGCAAATTTCAAATGAAAAGTATCGTTTTTCTGTAATTCCTTTGAAATGTTTGTCGTCGAACAATAAGCCTAATGCTTCGCACTTCTAAAACGCCTCCAAATGAATACGAATAAGAATGAACGGTTCTCGTGAAGTTTTTCTCTCCCAAACTCGATTACGATGAAAAGTAAGTTAAAAGAAAATTAAAAAGTATTTCACAAAAAGTATGTGTTTTCGTCGTGAACCTTTTTTTAAAACGGAAAAATTCAAATGCAACTCTGCGGTTCAAAAACTGTTTGCAATCTAAGAAAATGTCTTAAAAAACTTAAAATGCAAAATATACTATCCACAACCATTATAAATAAATTTGTAATGAATGCATAATTGACTATTTATTAAAGAACTGGATTTAAAGTTACTTCAACTAACTTTCACCAAGTTTACCTAACCCTCTCATCTATAGAAGATACAGGTAGGATTAGATGTATTTAAGAATAATATAAATTTTTTCTAGTATTTTTGATACACTGTGTTATATTGAAAATTCGTTACAATCCTTTCTAATCAAATCCTATCTAAGTGAGTGCATAGTGCGTGTTCCTAATACTTTATTAGATTATATGAGCTAAAAGGAAAATTATTAAATTTAGTGATAAATTAATTTTGGAATCTTAAATGCACGTTATGGTACAGAACGGTACAAATACGGAACGTTTGAGGATCGCTGTTTATCGCAATTAATTTAAAACAACTTGTTTGAAAAAATATAAACGGCAATTTGTCGGCGTTGTAAACCGCTTCTTCTTATTCAATACGCCTAATTTGAGCTCAGCCATTCGCGCGCATCCCATTCAAAAAATCTTTGAGCAGCTAAGTTTTTAAAACTGCTAAAAAGTATGCGGATGAATAAGACTTAACTAGACTCGTTGAATATTTATACGTCTAATTTCGGCCGGCCCTTTTCACGCCGTAGAAAGCTCGAACGGTTGGAAAATTGGAGTCGTTCGAGTCAAATTTCAAATAGGGCAAAACGAATATTAGAGGTATATCTGCTTATATGAATAACGGGCTTAAAAATTTCCAAACTATGGGAATTTAGAAATCGTGTAAATGCCACAAAAATGAGTTTTATAGATCTCCAAAAGTGTGAGTTTTATAGAAAATTACAACGAGTAAAACATCATTATAAATAAACCGAAAAATCTAGTTTTGTTTCAAAAATTAGGTGAATAACAAGGGCACAAGAATTAAGGCTTTAAGGGGGTTAAATCAAATGAGACATATTGATAATTTAGTAAAAATTTTACATAAAAATGTAACCAAACAAACGACATTTTTTCACGAAAAAGAGTTAAACCATTCTGAACCAATTTCAAAAAAACTCTTTTTTATTTTTAACTTTAAAACTTTGTAACTTCTTTAATAAGAACTTTTGGATATTAAGAATGTTTGGCGATCTTATTTTCGTCTCAGAAGTCTGTAGTTAAGCCCTGTCCCAACATTTTTATGATACACTGTAAATTATCTATTCTTTTTTGTATATTATGCAATACTGCAATGATCGAAATTTTTTAGAAAATCAAGTGTTATTAATATTTGTGATATAAGAGAAGGTAAATGGGTTCAATTGTAGTGTTAAATATGAAATAAAAACTGATAGTTAAGAGAGAAAATTTATTAAAATAAAATCATCTTTTGTCAATTACAAACATATTTCAAGCTAAAGTAGCTTTACTACCCGCTTTGAATTCTCCTAATGTAGAGCCCGTTTGGAATTGCTTGTATCTGAAAATTGAAGCATTAGAAAATAGAAATCCAACAAAATTTCCTTACATTTTTTCATATTTAACCCGCTCTTTATGAGACAAAGAAGGCTTAGTCTTCTTTAAAGCCTCTTCCAGATGATTTTGAGTTATTTTGCAATCCCCTATTTCAACCTGAAATATTTGTATTATTCTATTAACTTACCAATTAAATAATTTGAAGACAGAAAGAAAGGATGAACAAAACATGAATATTAATAACAGATGTTAATATAGGATGTTTATAGAAAAATGAAAAATACAAACTGCTTGTAAACGACATTGCACGTGTAGGTATTTAGCGAGTACAATTATCTAATTAAATATGTGCGTTAAAACACCAAACGACAAGAGAAGAGGTAATAATTTCGAAGCTATTAACTACGATGCCTATGCGAACTTGCTTAATTACAATCTTAAACCGAGATATAAAGTTCTTATCAGCATTTACCCGCACAACTACCATTTAACTCGAGACTTAATTCGAAGTAGTAGGTGGATTGAGACGAGCAGTCGAAAAAATGTGGTGTAATTTAAATTAATTTAGAGAAACGCTGATGAAAATAAGAGTTTGTGTCGCTGGTTAGTATTATTTCGCGTACAAAGCCCTACCTGCCGCTATATTTAGAAATTAACCGAAACAATTAATTCCCTACAATTCCTCAGTCACATTTAAATTTCGTTCCAATCGAATTTCTCGTCTTCAAAAGGAGCTTTAATTATGCTTTTCTGCGTTACATTATACATGTACATATACCCCATATTTAAAGCGTAACCCTCTTTTCTCGCTAGACCCTATTCGGTTTTGTCAAGGAGTCACGGGCATTATTAATTAATTAATTGAGTTAATTAAACACCTTTTCTACTTCATTTACTCAAACTCGAAACATTATAATTTATTTTATAGGTAAAACGTCGGCTCTTTGCCTTTCACTGCGACTCGTTAATTAAATTTTCTTTCGCCAAACGGTTTATATAAAATTATTATGTAAAACAAGTTAGTTTACAATTTCACGCTCTAAATGGAAGTTTTAATGCGATACTGAATTTGTTTTATTTATTATTAGGTAATGTTGTTAGTTATTATTGCTATATTTAAGGTGTACAACAAAGTTTCATCATATTTGTTTGACATTTTTCATAAATTATTAAACTCTCTACTTATACCTAAAGGGTATAATCTAGGTAAAATCACTATAAACTTATGGAAAACCTCAAATTTCGTGGTAGACTCGTTAAAAAATCATAAATATCGCTAAAATTCATTAAAACTATAAAAAATCTCAAATTTCGTGGTAGACTCGCTAAAAACACATTGATATTGCTAAAAACTCGTAGAAATTATAAATACATAAATTCAAAATACATGGTAAAATCGCTATAAATTCATAGATATCGCTAAAAACTCACAGAAATTGGAAAAAAAACCTCAAATTACACGATAGACTCGTTAAAAACTCATTGAAACTAGGAAAAATCTCAAATGTCGTAGAATAGTAATGGTAAAAATCGTCAATAAATTACTTCACAAATCCACTTACCTTATCATTTTCATAGGAATAATCCATCGTCAACATATGAGCGGTATAAAGCATCGATTGTAAATCAGCTCCTGAATAATTTTCAGTTGCAACGGAGATTTTACTCAAATCTACATCGTCATCTAGACTTAAATTGCACGAATGAATCTTTAAAATTTCCAATCGTTCGGCCTGAAATACTTAATCAATTAACAGCACTATTTCGAATATTCCTTAATGTTTACTTCGTTAGGCAAAGCGCACAGAATCTGTTTGTCCAATCTGCCCGGTCTAAGCAAAGCGGAATCCAAAAGATCCGGTCTAGAAGTAGCTGCTAAAACACAAACGCCTACCAAAGCTTCAACACCGTCCAATTGCGTTAATAATTGATTAACAACGCGATCTGTTACACCCGTATTGTCATGTCCGCGTCTGAAATAACCAGTTAAATTTAGATATAAACATCCCATGAACATCTACACTTACTTTGGAGCTAAGCTGTCGAATTCGTCGAAGAATAAAATACAAGGCCTCGCACTCTGCGCCCTGGAACAACACAAAATTGAACATAATTCTAAATTAATTCGAGTTTTGTAGTGGACATACTTTTGGAATATGTCTCTAACAGACTGTTCACTAGCACCAATGTATTTGGATAGCAATTCCGGTCCTTTCACAGATATTAGTCTCATTCCGCATTCCTTTGCAGCTGCACCAGCTAGAAGGGTTTTCCCAGAGCCTGGTGGGCCGTAGAGCAGCAAACCTGATTGTAATCTGATGGGGGCATTAGCGAAAATATTGGGGTACTGTAACAATTAGATAAAAGTGTGCAAAATGTCCTCTAAATAGTTAATAAACTAGACGTTTTGTATAACAAGAAAGAGTTTAAATGTATGGAAACCTACATGTCCTGGCCAAAGGAGGTTTTCCATCAAAATTTTCTTGATGCTATGGAGGCCCCCGATGCTCGAGAAGTCTTTGTCTCCTGGTGAGTGTAGCTGCACGTTTTGTAATGAAATGATTGATGTATTTTTAAGTGCACTTTCTAAATGTTCCTGTTTGATACAAGCGCGATTGAGATCTTCGCAGTCTATAGGAAGAAAGATTAATTTAATTTTATTGCGTCACTCAATTGCAGGAATACTTACCATTTTTGTACATTTCAAATATCGTTTTATTAGAAAAATCTACTAAATCTTGAATAACAAATCCCTCGGTTTTAATGGAAAAATCGTTGAAATTAACGTCTATTATCTCATAATTTCTAAGCAAATGTTTCAAAGTAAGCAGTCTATCTTGCTAAAAATGATCAATAATAAGACAATTAAAACTATATTATTATCTCATACTTTTGTTAAATCCTTTATTTCTTCGATATTTTTGAATAAGTGACTTCCCCGCGACGAATATATATTTTTGTTCAAACTTTCTACTGATTCACACGATGCCAGGATACCAATTTTGTGCAATGGTGAAAACGATTTGAAAAATGTATGGAGCATTTCACTGATCCTAAAATGAACATACAACACATTATTTCATACACCTCGCATATCCTGTGACAAAAAAGTACCCGGAAATTCTGATTTAAATTACCCGCACTTAATATTTTTAACTATTTTAAATTTCTACATGTAGGTGACACTGTTCCTAATTAGCATCCAAACAATTAGAGAGATTTCTCAATCAGTTTGGTTGTAGCAGCTGATTGAATCAGTTCGTCTCGTCAGTAGTGCTCTGGCAAGTTTATAATGGACAAAAACAATGAACAGAGTTTGTCTCATATTTTGGGTTTTGAACGGAACGCCTCGGGCGACTTTTCTTTGTTTTCCAAACTCAAATTGCCACTTCGGGGATCCCGTTTTCACTCCATAAATGCCATCAAAGAAAATTTGGAGAAGGAGCTAAAACTGTACCAAAAGGGGGCTATCAAAATATTATTAGAAAAGGCATCTGACTATGTTTCTTAGGAGTATTTTTTGCAGAACACTGAAGAAATATTAATGAAGATTAGGAATTTTGCGTTTTATTCCAATTTTCCGGGTACTTTTTTGTCACTCTGTACTTTACAAATACCTGCTAAAATATATGTAGTTAGGAGAAGCCTCGTCTCCTTGAATGTTCTCACACATGATATGCAAATCATCTAAAACTAATACAGAAGGCTCGTGCACCAGAAGATCAGAAAAAGCTTGTGAAAAGAATTTCCCTAGCGAGTCCATTGTTTTTCCTTTCAATGTTTTGCAACTAACTAGCTTTACGTAGTTAAAATAAGGATAGTCTTGTAATGTCTTAGCAAGGTGCTTAAGAAGTGTTGATTTTCCTGTACCAGGTTTTCCTAAAATTAATATAAACTTAACGTTTAAAGTATATAATTTACTTGAAATACTTACCAATAATTAATATATTTTCCATATCTTCGTATCTATTAGAAAACAACTCAGTACTACTTTCGATAAGTTGCTTTAAATTCGAAATACCATGAATGAATGAATCATCATTACTACTCTTTTCTTTCTTGCTAGTTTTAACAATATTATCGATTTTTAAAGTATATTTACAATTTCTGACTAGATTGTCATCAACAGCACAAAATTTCGACTCATTTGGGAGAAATTTTAAACTGCATATTACTTTTTCTCCAATATCGATTGGTATATTGCTATTTAGGACCATACTGTAATTATCATTAGCAAGGAACATTTTAAATGTTTCCAGTACATCAGTATTGTAATTCTTATTACAGCTGATTTCTATCTCACTGACGATGGGATATGTTTTTACTGGTTTTATAATAACCCTCGAACCTAAATCACAATCTAATAAGTCGAGTAAATCTTGAGAAACATACAATTCTCGATGTAGCGCTAGATTTGAATGTTCGATATCTTCTAAATACATTAATTTTATGTAAATGTCTTTGGCAAATATATCACTGGTTAAAAGACGCACAGAAAATATTGTGGAAACCAAATCCCATTTAGATTCTTCGGGAAATTGTGCCTTTGATAAAAATACGGTAAAAGGAGGAACAGAATTAAATAAAGCTTGATTAATTGGTAATTTATCGAAAGGAATTACTCTAAAAATTAATTCAGAGCAATCTGTAAATTGCTCAAGTTTCTTACTATCTGCATTAGGTAAATTATTACTGAAAATATTCCAAAATTTACATTCGTTACTAGTATTTTGTTCCCCTTTTTCTAAAGATTTTGTTGTTAAATTATGATTTGTAATTGGTTCTATATGCACTTCAGTTAGAAAATCAATAGCTCCTGGAGACACTGGGTTTATATTACCTTAAATAAAAGAAATAATATTAAATATTTTTCATTCAGTTATTGAAAAACTTACCAACACTCACTGTAGCATTTATATTGTTTCCTATCCAAATGACAAAACATTGACCACTACATACCACTCGTATTTGATTTAGTAATGTTTGCTGGATATTATCGGCTAACGATTCCTAAAAAATAACAGTTACGATATAAAGAAACTCAATACATTAAGTATTTTATGCATATCCCAAGTATTCAATACCTCTTAAAAAACTTACAATTACTTCATACTCGTTTTGGTTCACAGGGAAAATAGCAAGACTCTTAACTGATGAAAAAGAATTGACTTCAGTCACCCTGAACAAAACATTCTCTTCGATTCTTAAAGTTTTGGCAAGCAAAGAGCTTATTCCTATGCAATTGTCCTCTAGTTCAGAAGAGAAATTAGCAATTGAAAAATAGAACACGTTGTTTTCATAATCAATTAGTCGAACACAGGTCTACAACAAATCGAAATAAAGACCTTCGAGACAGTTAACAAATGTGCACTTACTCCTGGCTTTAAAATTTTTAAATTCGGATTAACATACAGGAAATTATCCTTACAGGATAAATATTTTAGTAGTAAATTTCTTTCAAACATTTTAGAGTTTGAACATTGTACTTTGTTGTATTTTTGATAATTTTAGTTTCAAGTTCAAATTACTAACCTATAAAAATCTTCTATTTTCTGATTTAGTAGTTTGTTGTTATTCAGCTCAGCTGATATCCGTCAAAAAATGGTGTCAGCTGTCAACATACGAGAAGCTGCGTTCAACATCTCGTTCGCAGATTTGTTGATTTGAATTACTAAATAGATTTTTTTTATTTTTCGATAATTAGGTAGATTTATCTAGATTTATCTAGATTTTATATAAAAATTTATCAGTTTAGGGACTATCTGAAGGGATTAATATAATTTACATGTACAACTTTACTAAAGATTTTGAAATAAATTTAATTTGTTTTACACCACAGACCATAAGTGTAAACATCCGAACTGAACTTATACTGGAAAAAGCAACGTTGCCAATTGCATTTATTTCCCATGAATTTGTAAGTTTGGTTTGCATTTTGCTAAAGTTTATTGAACAAATGAATCAAAATATTCATACTACAATTTTTATTAAAGAAAAATCGATTTCCAATCATTTGCGATTGTAGGGAATTAATTTTCTCCTTGCTACGCTGTTATCCCCCCTGCATCGCTCAGCCAATCAGATGTTCGGAGAAATTAAAAATAACGAAGTGGCAACAATGCAACCAAACAAAAGTTAACCGTCGTCTTTCGTCGTTGGACCGTTCAAGTTGACAAGCTTCATAACGATTTTTCATGAGCTCTTTTAACAAGTTTTTACATAGTTTTACAATATTCTTTTAGCACCGCAATTTACAGGTAAGTCTTTAATTTTATTGTACGTTTTAATATCTACGTTCACATAATTTCCGATCCGATGAAGGAGCGTGTAAATTCGCTGCGAATAATGTTTATTTCTGTGTTGAATGCATGTTTCTAGTTTGGATATTAGCTTAAAAAAGGCGCATAAAAACGGTTATTGCTAAATAAATAATGAAGATTTAATCGGCAGGTGAGGTATTTTTGCGAGGTATATAAAAAAGGCGGCAATTTGTTGCCTCTTTTTTCCCACCCGATAAAATTGAACATTTACAATTAAAATTCCTATTTCCTGTTTCTTTCGAAATGAAACTGTTTACTAAAAATATCTATAACTGTATAAATGCTGCTTTTATGAAATTTTGCTTGTCTATAACGGCTTATCTTATAAAGCCTTTTTTCCCATGTTTGTAATGTATTCATATTTATAATAACTATAAATTCTAGGTATTTAACAAGTAATTAATTTTATTATTAGATACAGTAGGTAGCTTATTTTTCCGAAAAAGGATTTCTATAATCCTTTATAATTCATTTGATTGTTGAAATTTATTGCACAAAATCTACAGTCCTTTTGTTACCTACTCTTTCCTCTATTGGTAGTTTTTAGAAAAGTATGTTTATACCAAAATAATACAGACATTTTGTTCAACTGCAATCCATGCAGTGTAACTTTTTCTTTCTTGACATATTGAGAAATTCTTGTCCACACTTCTATAATATTACCACCACATTGATTAGAGGTATCCACTCAAAATCGAATTATTACAAAAGTTTTCACCCCTTATCAACAACATATATACTGAGTGACAAAAGTAAAAGAACACCAAGAAGCAAATTTTATTTTTCATTCAAACTGTAGAGAGTGTGTACAGCACCACGGTGGTGCAAAACATTAATAAAATTTTTTTTAAGTTTTGTTGTTAATTTGATGAATTAATTTTCATCATTTGTTTAATTTTCTCTTATACATGTAACTAGAATAAATGGTTAAATTTCAACAACTATTTTTCGGTGTTCTTTTACTTTTGTCACTCAGTATATTTCTCCCATTTTTCTTACCCTTTTTGCTAATTTTTTACTGTAAATTTTAATAGATAAATAGATAGAAATGGCTCCAACAAAATCGAGCGCCAGCTCTATACTTTCCAATTTACCACTGAGAACGACGATATCCACGCGCAGCAGAGCAGCCACCCAATCTTTAACCAACGTTAGAACGACCAAGCTGAGCGTGATCAGCGTTAAAAGGAAAGCCGACGCTTCCCCTTCGAAGGACGCCAAGACGACCAAAAGAATAGCATTCAGCGAAAAGAACATCAACATCACAGAGGCGAAGACCAAACAGGTCGATGCCAAGCAAAAGATTACTCTCAAGAAAGCCGCAACCCAAGTGAAAACAGTCACGACGCTTAAGGCCCAATTGAAAACTCTTCCATCTGTTAAGACTGTGGCTCGTGTGAAACAAAACGAGAACATTGCTCCTCTTGCTCCCGTACATAAGGTAATGTTCATAATATTCAAACAAATGTTTTTTTTTGTTTTCAAACTGCTGATTTAATGCAGGGTGAAAAATTCTCGGCCTGAATCATTTAGAACGCTCCAGAATCATTTTAAACTGTCTAGAATCACTTAGACTGCTCCAGAATCATTTACAATTGTCTAGAATCACTTAGACTGCTCCAGAATCATTTACAATTGTCTAGAACCATTTAAAACGCTCCATATTCATTTAAAGCACTCCAGAATCGTTTAAAACTGTCTAGAATCATTTAGAACTGTGTATAACAATTTAGGACGCTTCAGAATCGTTTAAGTATTGAACTAAAGATTTGAACTTAATAAGAATAATGTAATGTTTCAATTGAAAATCGCGGCCTTTCATTGTCAGGCTGAGAAATTTTCACCTCACCCCTGTACAAGTAGATGTAAAATTGTTTGCATACTAGGCTATGGGTGCAACAAAAACAACTTCCATTAATCTCATATAAAGGAAGTAGAAAGAATAATACTGTGGGATTAAGACTTTCTCACTTTAACCACTGTTAATGAGCTTTCTTTGTTCAACTTATTGAATTGATCATGTTGCAAACCAATCTACACACCCATATGAATCCTCTAAGTTGAACTAAGAGAGATTATTAAAATAACAGTGGTTAGAGTGAGAAAGTGGCAATCCCACATCAGTATCACTTTCTCTTTCCTTTATACATACGAGACTAATGGAAATTAGTTGTTTTTGTTGCACCCCTTGCATACAAATTTGCACTTGTGTGTAAATATTTCATGTTGTATTATTCTTTCTATTCTACTAAATATCAAATTTTGTTTTAGGTATATTCTAGAAAACCTACAAAAATTGTAGTTCCTAATCAAACTGCAATAAAACCCAAAGAGGTGCTTAAGGAAAACAATACTAAATGCAATAAAAGACTTAGTAATGATTTTGAAAAGACTGAAGATACTCTGTACTCCTCTGCTTTAGAAGATATGTAAGTATAATATTTTTAATTCTAAATATTTACTGTAGATGGTAGATTCATAGTTACTTAATATTTTTAGTTAAATGTTTGTAAACATTATTACAATGGAGTCTATACTGTATCGCTTCGATTCAATTTTATTAATTTCCAAAACGATACATAGTAGACCTCCACTGAATGGTAGTTAAAGTTGAGCAACATAAACTTACATTTGACTAAAAGTTCTAGTAATGAATCTACCTACTTCAGTGCGAAGAGACACAATTTGAGATCGTCGAGAAGCTCCGAATCCGAATCGACCTCATTCGATAAAAATGAGAAAACTGAAGAGAACGCGTCCAGCGTATCGATGGTGGCCAGACGTATGGAGATTGCTTTGCATCTCGGAAACCACTCTGTTCCGGACCAAATAGACGATTTCGATAAAGAAAATTGGGAGGACGTGTTTCAAATATCCGAATACGCCATTGATATATTCCACTACCTCAAAGAGCGAGAAGTAGGTTCATTTTTCTATCATACAAGTAAGAAGATTCATCTTTTGTGTTTCTTTTTCAGTCCAGCTTCCCTATAGTCGACTACTTGGGGCGACAAGTGTGCCTGACTCGTATCATGCGATCGCTGTTGGTCGATTGGATGGTTGAAATCCAGGAGAGCTTCGAGCTGAACCACGAAACACTTTATTTGGGTGTGAAGATAGTCGATATGTATCTAGGAAAGGTAGTTGTGGGCAAGGAAACGCTTCAGTTGGTCGGAGCTGCTTCGATGTTCATCGCCAGTAAATTCGACGAGCGAATTCCTCCATTGATCGATGATTTCCTCTACATATGCGACGGGGCTTACACGAAAAGGGAGTTGATCAGAATGGAGATGAATCTATTGCAAGTCATCAACTTCGATTTGGGCATTCCGATCAGTTATAGATTCCTGAGGAGATACGCAAGGGTGAGTGGTGTGAATGTTTCATTGGTAAATATTTATTCTAAAATTTTATTGTTTTAGTGCGCTAAAATCCCGATGCCCATTTTAACATTGGCCAGATATATATTAGAGTATAATTTGATGAATTACGATGTAATTACCATTCGAGATTCCAAACTAGCTTCGGCGGCTCTGTACATGGCGCTTAGGATGAAAGAAATAAGCAATTGGACACCAACTCTAGAATTTTATACAGGTAAATAACAATATACAGATAACTGCAAAGTTGTACGCAATAGTACATTTTTATAAAAAGAAGCGTTTACTTTGAGGAAAATGGTAGAAGCTAAAGGTAAGAGGAAAAGGTTGTGCTTTGATCCATATTCATGAAACCTTGCAATAAAACGCTTCAGATAAATAAAGTAAATGGTTCAGAGCCTCTAGAGCGTTAAAAAAAATTCTAGATAGTTGTAAAAGTTTCTAAACAGTTCTAAATCTGTATATGAATTCTGAATATTTTACTGAATTATTTCTATTACAGGTTACAAGTTAGAGGAATTTAAGGATGTCATTGTATCGCTAAATAATTATTTAAGCCAACCAGCTAAGTCACAATTGATGACGGTGAGGAACAAATATTCGCACAAAATATTTTTCGAAGTGGCCAAAATTCCGTTGCTTAAGAATGAACAATTTTAACGTAGTATTTATTTATCGTTTTTTATATGTAATCTTATACCTTAAATATTTGTACAGTAAGTACACATTAAAAACCTTTGATTTTGTTGTGCTTATTTTTATAATTATTTCTGTGACGATTAATTAAATTAACTATTTCTTCGTATTTCGTATAAAATGTTATATTTTATGCTTGCGTATGAGTTTGGTTAATTTTTTTATTTTATTTTGTTGGCATTATTTTTTTATGATTTTTACCCAGAATTTTTGAAAAATTTGTAATGATTTTTTTAATAAACTTAAATTGTATAAGCTTTGTTTTGCGTTGATAACCTAGTAGGTTTGTGATTGTGTTTGCAAAAACATAAAGGCAACTATAAACATTCTTATCTTGACAATATTTGTTGTTTTAACGTATTTATCTATTTTTATTTTTTATCTAAACCAATTTTCTTACATGTATGTCTAATATCAAACATGATATTTCAATAAAACGCCCCAATATTTGGTAACACAAACTGAAAAATATGTAACTCAGCGCGTGTAAAAAATACATTCAATACAAGAATCCGATACCGATTTTAAATTTACCGCCGAAATATATTATTTATTCTCACCAATAGAAAGTAGCCATATGGACATGAGTTTATTTGTTTCGAATTGATTGGCTACGGTTAAACGTCAACGAGCGTGGTGGATTCTGATAGGTGGAACAATGCTAGAATTTGACATTTCAGTGTTGGTTAGTTTTCCAGCAACGTCAGTTTATCACAAATAGTTGTAGCCGACGACCGGTGTTTTCTCGGTTTTTTTCGTTTGAATGAAATAAGTTGGATGTCGAATAGCTGCAAGATGAAGCAGTGTTCTTTATTTATTATAGCCCTTTTTGTATTCATCGGTGAGTAAAAATATATTCGCAAATTGAAGCTAAAATTTATAATCCATCGTTTTTTGTTTATCAGGATGTGTAAAATGCGAGGAACCCGGAGAGCCTTCGGTGGAAAAAGTTGATTTAGATTTGGGCGCAAGCAGAGACGGTTCCAGAACAGGTAATTTAAGATCTAATTCTCGCGTAGTTCATTAGATGTTCCATTATCAGTGCGTCTGTATGTTTGTGGTAATTTAACCTTCTGTCTTTTATATCGCTTAAAATTATATCGTGATACCAACCGTATCTGAAATAAAATTATATAAAATTGTTGAAAGATTACCCAAATTCATATACTTTTGGTTTTCGGTTAAGGGTCTTTCATATTTCTCCTTAGGTCCGTTTACGTTGAATATTTCGGTACATTGTGGTAAACTTTCAATATCCTTTTTATCTTTTGTAGTATAAAATTTTCCTGTTATTACTGGTGCTAAAAGCAATAAAGTACACAAACTCGAATTTTATAGATTTAATAACAATAAATTTACTCACGTAAATTAAGCGGTTTTCCCACAAGGACATTTGATCTACCGGCCAGTATTTTTGGTGTAAAACACAATTTAAATGGAGTTAAATTATCAGAATCTGTAGATAGAAACTCCTCCATTGTTTGATCAATAATCTAAGCTATTCATAAAATCCCTATAAAAAACTATGTTAGGTTATCCAATATATTACCACACAATTTATTATATCGTACTACAATTTACAGACGATGAAGTCGTTAAAAGGGAAGAAGAAGCCATTAAACTCGACGGTCTCAACGTTGCTCAGCTCAAAGAATTACGAGAAAAATCTGAAAAGTTTCAATTCCAAACTGAAGTCAATAGAATGATGAAACTTATCATCAATTCTTTATACAGGAATAAGGAGGTAAGATCAATAGAATTCACTGTTGTAGAAAATTGTATTCCATAAAAATTCTATTAATTGATTAATACTTTTGTAGTGATTCATATTGGAATTTTTTCCGATACTAATCACAATCTAAAATCTCCACTCTACACTGTTAATTACCATTATGTAGCTATGCATCCGTTACATTTTTACCTCTATTATCACACTTTTAATTTCAGATTTTCTTGAGAGAATTGATTTCGAACGCGTCCGATGCCTTGGACAAAATCAGGCTGTTGTCCCTAACAGAAAAGAGCGTGCTGGACGCACAACCGGAGATGAACGTTCGAATAAAAGCCGATAAAGAATCGGGAATGCTGCACATTACAGACACTGGTATCGGAATGACGAAGAAAGACCTGGTGAACAACTTAGGTACCATCGCGAAATCCGGTACGGCCGAGTTCCTGAGTAAAATGCAGAGCCCCGACAGTTCGCAGGACATGAACGATATGATCGGTCAATTCGGTGTGGGATTTTACTCGGCTTTCTTGGTAGCCGATAAAGTTATCGTAACGTCTAAACACAACGACGACAAGCAGTACATCTGGGAGTCCGATTCGTCTTCTTACAGCATCGTAGACGATCCCCGAGGGGATTCCTTGAAACGTGGTACCACCGTCAGTTTGCAATTGAAACCCGAAGCTAAAGATTTCTTGGAGCACGATACTATTCGTACGTTAGTTAAGAAGTACTCGCAATTCATCAATTTCCCGATATACTTGTGGACCAGCCACACCGAAACCGTAGAAGAACCGTTGGATGATGAAGCAGCCGAAGAAACCCCTGCGACTGCTGATGAAGATGATGCGGCCGTGGAGGAGGAAAAAGATGAAGAGAAATCTAAGACCAAGAAAGTGGAAAAGACCGTTTGGGATTGGGAGCTGTTAAACGACAGCAAACCTATTTGGAGCAGGAAGCCTTCCGAAGTCGAAGATAAAGAGTACGATGAATTCTACAGAGCTTTAACCAAAGATACCAAAGATCCTCTTACAAAGATCCATTTTGTCGCCGAAGGTGAGGTTACCTTCAAATCGTTGCTTTACGTTCCGGAAGTCCAGCCATCAGAGAGTTTTAACAGGTAGTAATTAAAAAACTTGTCTAGTAATAGAAGTTTAATTGATTTTGTCTTTAATTTAGATACGGTACGAAAACGGACAATATTAAATTGTATGTCAGACGCGTCTTCATCACAGACGAATTCAACGATATGATGCCGTCTTACCTCAGCTTTATTCGAGGAATCATCGATTCCGATGATTTACCTTTGAACGTATCTCGAGAAACGTTGCAACAACACAAATTAATCAAGGTATAAAATCACTACAATTTTCTTTATAAACTTTTATTCATTGCCATTTGCTTTTAGGTTATCAAGAAGAAACTCGTCCGTAAAGTGCTTGATATGCTGAAAAAGCTCTCTGAAGAAGATTACGAGAAATTCTGGAAAGAATTTTCGACCAACATTAAATTGGGAACCATCGAAGATCCGGCTAATCGCACGAGATTGGCCAAACTCTTGAGATTCCTTACTTCAAACGGTTCCGGCACCACCAGCTTGGCCGATTACGTGGAGAGAATGAAACCGAAACAAGATAAAATATTTTACATCGCCGGATCTTCAAAGGAAGAAGTCGCCAAATCGCCTTTTGTCGAAAGACTTTTGCGCAAAGGTAATTTCTCTGCTCTGCTCTGCTCTGCTCTGCTCTGCTCTGCTCTGCTCTGCTCTGCTCTGCTCTGCTCTGCTCTGCTCTGCTCTGCTCTGCTCTGCTCTGCTCTGCTCTGCTCTGCTCTGCTCTGCTCTGCTCTGCTCTGCTCTGCTCTGCTCTGCTCTGCTCTGCTCTGCTCTGCTCTGCTCTGCTCTGCTCTGCTCTGCTCTGCTCTGCTCTGCTCTGCTCTGCTCTGCTCTGCTCTGCTCTGCTCTGCTCTGCTCTGCTCTGCTCTGCTCTGCTCTGCTCTGCTCTGCTCTCTTTTACTTTCTGTTTTACTCTCTGTTTTACTTTCTGTTTTGCTCTGCTCTGATCTAATCTGATCTATTTGTGTTTCATTTTAGGATACGAAGTTTTGTACTTGGTGGAAGCTGTAGATGAATACGCCATCTCGGCAATTCCCGAATACGAAGGAAAGAAATTCCAAAACGTCGCCAAGGAAGGTTTCAGCCTTACCGAAGCGGAAGGAGGCAAAGAGCAATTGGAAGAATTGAAGAAATCCTTCGAACCTCTCACCAAATGGCTAGGCGATGATGCTTTGAAAAACGACATCTCTAAAGCCCAAGTATCCGAAAGGTAAACTTCATTGCCACGTTACATTACAAATTGTTCATTTATTCATGTTAATTTCAGGTTAAGTGATTCACCATGCGCATTGGTAGCTAGTCTGTTCGGTTGGACCGGAAACATGGAACGTTTAGCGGTGTCGAATGCCCACCAAAAGGCGGACGATCCTCAAAGAACCTACTACCTGAACCAGAAGAAGACCCTGGAAATCAACCCAAGGCATCCATTGATGAAGGAACTGCTTAAGAGGGTCATCGATGATCCCAGCGATCCCACCGCTAAAGATATGGCGAAAATGATGTTCAGAACGGCCACTTTGAGGTCCGGTTACATGTTGAAGGAAACCGCCGAATTCGCCCAGTCTATAGAAACTATGATGAGGAAGACGCTGGGTGTGCCGCTCGACGAGCAGGTGGAAGAAGAGGAAGATATCACGTCGGAGGAGAGTAACGGAGATGCGGAAGAAATCGATGCTGATGAATCTAAAGATGATGATGATCACGATGAACTATAAGTGTTTGTGAATTAGCGTGTGGATGTACAAGTAATTTGTATGTCGTTTAAAGACTGTAATATTGATTTTTTTTGTACTATTTTTTTGTTTCTCATTAAAAGCCATTATTTATTTTCTTAAAGTGATGTAATTTAGGTTATTTGGAAAATAAGATGAACATTAAAGAGAAAATTTACAATTTTAAATCGGTACCTATCATATAGACTCTTGTAGAGTTTGTGGACATTTTTACGGGTGCTTCTGGAGTACATTCTCTAGTCATGCAATTGTTGCAGAAATGTGTATACAGGGTGTCCCAATGAGATTCGACAGAGAGCGGGAGCGTATAGGTGAGCCCAAAATACACTCCTGAGAAGTTATAGGCCTTCAAAGTGAAGTTACAAAATAAAAAAAATAATCTCGGTAATATTGCAACTTAAAACAACTAAATTTGGTATACTTTACGAGTGTACTATAAGGGCATTAATCGATAGTTAGAAGAGGTTAATTGATTGCACAGTACATATTTTTTTATCTGATGGACGATTTAAAGAGTTATTAGTTCATTTTAAAATATTTTTTCTTCGTTTTATTTTTAAAATTCTTTATAGTCGTTTTACTTGAAATTTTGGATTTAGTTTCTTGCGAAAAATTTCTGTCACAATGCATACAACTATAACTTCGGATAGGAAAATATTGATGAAATACCTCAAATCTGATATTCTTGGTCAGCGCAGTTAACAATTTGGTTGACATTCCAGAAATATCCTTTTTCCACTCACCAATAAAATTATTATGTGAAGGAGGCCGGTAATGTTATTTTTAACTCTCAGCAGGAAGATAAGAGAAATAAATTAGACTATCAACAAACAAAATGGCTCTCCCTTTAAATCGCCATATTTTTGGAATTTTATCGTTTTTGCAATTGCCCATTCAATTCTAAAATATTACAGGTAAACTCTTCTATGCAGTACACACTTGCTGCATACAACCATTTACATTGAAGTAGCCATATGATTATTAAATCCAACGCTGTAAATTCACTACTTAACTCTACTATTTATAAAATAAAAATATTTCCGATACTTTAAATCGATATTTAGTATGTAATGTTTTCTTTCATAACTAGTATTGAGAACTTTGTTTTTTCGCTCGCCTCTTTTTGTTAGTGGTTCTTCGCGCTTCTTCGTTTTTTTTCTTAATCCATTCCCTAACTTTCTCCTCCCTGTCTTCGGGATCCACTCGGTAAACGTCTATAGTCGGGCGCGGTCTTATGGGATAACGAACTGGTTTCTTTTTAGGCATAACAGGAATATTTGTTTCGTGATAAAATGGCCGAAAATTTAAGGGATTGATGAATTCATTAGTGATGGAATGGAGTGTAATGTCAAACTTGACAATCCCTATACGTATGCATAGGAATGTTTTCTATTAAACGAGTTCGTTCTTCAATGAAGTTTTAGAGACTTTTATAGTGTTTATAGAGAGCGTTTCAGAGAAGAAATGAAAGACTAAATTTCTATTAACATGTTTATTAAAATATATTAGAAAAATCCCCTAAATACCTTCATGATTGATTCCCATAAACCTGAAAAACAAATATGTGTTAATTGTAAACATAAATTATAACTGTTATTTGTTATTGAAGATTTGTTCATGCAAAAATGGCACCTGTAAACCCCCAAATCTTTAACTGAACCAACCACCAAAAATCAACCGAAAGGACTAAATAGTCGCGGCATGCACATGCTAATTATACCTACCGGACTGCGAATCACCAGGTGCCTGGACATAATTTTGATTTGTGGACTCTTTCGGAAATAAATCCTGATTAAAGATGTTTTCTAAAATATTCTGAAAGGATATGAGGAATCACTAAAGTTCTTAAATATTTTCTGAGTCATTCACTAATGATAAATATGATGGTATCTGGTTCAATGTGTTGGTCTATGAAAGACTTGGAGAATTGTCGATGATTTTACTTAAACTGAAAAACCTAATTTTCCTACTATATTTGAAAGAGATCGTATCAGAGAAATACTTTTTTAGATACGTTTATGGATTTTACTCATTACTAAACCTAGGTTTACCCGGGTTAAATTGTGAAATGCGGGTAAAGTAGGGTAGGGTAGGGTCGGGTAAGGTGGGTTTCTCTTGGACCTAGGTTTAGTCGTTTATCTAGCTTTATCCATAACAAATACATCAAATTCTAATGTGTTATTTTCGGCACTGTATTACTATTATTCATAACATTCATATGTAGCATAATCGGTGGGTGCCGGTCTAGTATGCGGTCTACCATATTATTTGCATAATACCTACCTATTATAAAGGGTGAGTTTTTTCAATTTTTAGTACAGTAATCTCGGAAACTTTCGGAGATAGAAAAAAGTTTTAAAGGACAAATATTTGCAATTTTGTGAGACCTGTTCACAATCAGTTTCAGTTTTCCAAAATATTACACCTGTCAAAGTATTTAAATATAACTTATGGTATAGACCGCATACTAGACCGGCACCGCATAATCTAATCATTTTCGTTACTGCTTTACTTCATTTTTGATTTGATCACGAATATAGTACCGAATTTGCTGATATTGTTATACTTACTCTTGAGGGCACACTATTAACAATATCTGCAGTAAAGGCAGGTAAGCCTTTGGCATTCAGATTTTTCACTGCGAAAACACTTCCGGCTCCAGGAGATTGTAATTGTTCTTTACTAGTCAAACTGACTTTTGACGTAGTAACAAAAAGTATGTCCAATCCTGGACCACCGAACATTACGGACGTAACATCTCTAGCAGGAATTGCAATTATCTAAAAAAATCATGCTAATAAGATTAGGAAATGGTTGATAGTAAAATAGTATGTTCAAGTCATACTATAACTGTTTTTTTTTTGGTATAACTTAAAGGTGATTTACCATGAGAAGTTTTCCAGTTTTAGGATCAACTTTTATGACTGAGCCTCCTCCATATAAAGCGATGTATAAGTAATCTTGGTCATCAATTGTCATACCATCAGGTAATCCTGAAAATATATTTCAAATTGGTAGGTAGATACTTATGGTTTAAAATCTAATAAATTAGGTACTTAACACTTAATTAGGTAAATATCGGTTTTCTATTAACAGTACAGCCCAAGTTTACAAGTTGCGGCTGATAATAATACACTTAATTAATCGATTAAGGCAATTAATGTAATTGAACCCAACTTACCGGTAATGGTTGTATTATAATCGTTGAGATCAAAGGCAGTTCTGCTTGTTGACGAGATACTGGAATTTTCGTTAAAATAAGTATATTCTACTACCTTCCGTGTAGGAGTGTCGATGTAATAGAATTTGTCGTTGGCTTTGTTCCAAGCTAATCCGTTGCTGTTTGTAACGGGCGCTATCGCGACCGATGGTTGCTTTATGTTGTTCTTGGTTATTTTGAATAAATATGCTTCATTAGGGGCTACTACTAAATTTTCTTCTCTTCCTATTGTACCTGGAAAACGGTTAATTTTTTAGATACCTAATTAATCTATTGTTTACGTATCGTATATCGAGTAGATATAATCCAGGACAATGCATTTCAGAGCCTATACTGTTATCAAGTATATTACCCCAAAAACAAAGGACCCAAATTTATAAAAAGTAGGTAATATTAAACTGTAATATTTTGTACATGGTCTATTTTGTTAACAATTACTTACTTTGTTACATTATTACTTAATTATACCCACTCACACGCCGATTCCACTTAGATACATACATATATGCATAACATATTATTAATATTTACATATATTTAACTGCAGTTTTTTGCATATTAAACGTGCATACAAATTACTTACCCCACCAAAGATTTCCATTTTTATCGGCTTTTCCATCGTTAAACCGACTTTTAGGATATTTATTACTAACTGTAGTTAAAACAGCTTTGTCCCCTAATTTATTTTTTGCGTCCCATTCCAATGCAACTATTGATCTATTCACGCCGACCAGGAGTAAATTTGGATTATGTCTTGAAGGTATTACTGGAGAAGTGCTGCCTAAAATGAGTAGTTTTTAATTAAAATTCTAAGAAATATCGATTTTGCTCGGCAATGAATGCTGAATGAGCATATTCGAGTCTTTTTACGCTAAGAAGATTACTTATAATAATTTTGAGTGATAGGGAATATCGGAACAAACTTTTGCAACGCATAAACTTCCAAGTTCGATCACGAAATTCTTTAAATTAATTAAATAGTGCAGAGTCGCTAAAATGTGATGTTTGATGTCGAACGAAAAACTTTGGAAATACCAACTAAATCAAAGTTATTCTGTCGAAGTCACTTTTTGAATAGCGGGGAAAAGAAAAAAAAACTTCCGTTCCTGTTTCTAACTCCTTAAAGCTCCTTTAAATGCAGTTAATTAACCTTGTTCTCAGTTTACACGCAAAAAGAAATGTTCTATTTTAAGATCGAAAAAATGAAAAAATTACAAGTAACATTGAGAATGTAATGCAATATTTAAAAAACTTGTTGTTAATCGGTGAAAGGTATAGACAGATCGTGCGAACAGGCGATTGGGTAAGGTCAAGAATTTTTTATTTTTAATTGTAACACATTGAATTTTACGCAATAAGCTAATAAATATCATGTACAATAGGTTTTATTGTATCAAATCATATTAAATTTTAGTTTATTAGTTTTCCATATTTACCAATAAATTATGGAGAGTTCACTTACCATTTAGAGTAATTTTTCGTAAAATCTTTGAAAAATAGTGATAAGCGTAAACTTCCCCCGCGTGTATATTGACAAAATATAAAATATTTTTTCTGGGATCCCAATGAGGTTCTTCTGTGTGACCAATAGATTGTGTTACTCGCACAATTGACGGACCATCGATATCTGATGCCCTAAAATTAATTTACAGAAGTTAATTTACGTTAAAATAATCAAATATTGCGTTACCTAAAGGGTGTTAAAAATGTCATAAAATGAAAGGGGGGGTAGTATGACCCAAAATATGCAGAGTAGTCTTAATAAACATGTGTTCGCAAATGAGTCGTTTGGGCTGTAGAGCAATAAAAAGGGTGGTCATTTTAAAATAAAAAAAGACCCAATACCTATCATGAGCTGCGTATGCCCGGTTTCTCGACTTTTCGCGTTTAACTATCGCTTACTATTGAGAAGTTAACTGAACTGGGAGAGGTTAACGTTATAGTTGTTGCATACTTAAACTTGGATTTTAAGTCGAGAAACCCGATCTCGAAGGTTAACTGGAGTTTATTGAAAAGTTAACTTATTGAAAGGTTAATTTTTGACAGGTTTCATATTTTGCAAAGCTGAAACTGGTTGTGAAGATGTCTCACAAAACTGCCAATGTTTGCCCATGCATTTAAACTTTTTTCAATCTCCTACAGTTTCCGAGATCCCTGTATTAAACATCGAAAAAACACCCTGTAGACTACTGTAGAGAGAAAATTAGAATTTTTAAAATAGATATGAATAATAAAACCTTGGAAAAATTAGTTTAGCTAATTAACTAAGATAATTAACGAAATATTGAAATATGGAAATGAAACAGGGATTGCCTAAATTCAAAATTAATTTATTGTATATTGATGAGACTATTTACAAAAGAGTTATAATACATATTAATAAAAAATATACATGTTGTAAGTAATCCAAACATACATAAATCAACCCAATTTGTCTAGTATTGTTAACATACTATCTAATTGAAAGAATTCACATAATTAATTTAAACGGCGTATATTTAAAAAAAACATTTATTATACTAAAAAATAAAAACTTTCACTTTTTAAATGTTTAAATCATATTTGCGTACTTTTCAAAATAAATTTAATTTTTTATCAACTTTTAACTAAGTACCTACATGAATATAAAATTTTTAAATATAAATTAATGGGTGAATTTAATCAGGCATTACTTGATTTAAATATAGCATTTAATGAGGGAATTAGTGTAATTTATGTAAGAAATATTTAAATTGTTTAAAAAAACCATATTACCAAAAAAGTTTACCGTTTATCTTCATTTTAGCTAATTTAAAAATACATTGTGAATATCAGTTCATTTGTAAAACATAAGGAGTATATAAAAATGGCTTATCTTAATCAGTCTGGAAAACCAAGCGACTAGCGAATTTTCTCAGTACATTTGATTTTATGTAGGTACTTACATACATACATATATTTTATAAGTAGATATAATTTTAATTGTTTTATGTGCACGTATCTTAATAAAGTATTTTCTATTTAAGTTCCTTCGAATAAATGTGATCACTTGTAAATGTTGTGAATAGTTTATTTTTTGTTTATTTGTTTTCTGCATCATAATGCCATTGATGCTTTATCGTTAAATATTACGCGATAAAATCATTGGAGATTATTGTTGTATATACTTATTAATTATAATTAAAATAAATTCTCTAATGTCAGTTAAAAATAACTTACTTTGTATGGATTAAAACGGTAACAAATACCACAAATACAAACAGCATGTTGGCCCTATACGTTTCAACTGATGTAATTAAACTTTTCGATTTTTTTACATAATATTAAAACTTGCACTATCAACAAATAATTTATTTTTATAGTACCTAGTTATTTGTTATGTTCGTAATTCTCAACATTCACTCCACATTTATTTTAATTTACAAAACGTTTTTTAAAAGCGATTTACTTATTTATATCCAATTACATCCAACTAAACCTAATAACCGAAATAGCCTAAACCCGAATAATGCCTTAATAAGTAGATATATATTCCCAAGGCTTTATTTGTTTCCAAAAATTCAAAACTGTAATAAGTATTTTTGTCAAAACGCGACATAACATACGTAAATAACTTGTATGAATATGAATAACGGAATAATATGCATATGGGTAAACAAAGATTGTTTGCAATATGGTCATTTCTATGAGTTGAACAAAGAAAGATTATTAAAAAAATAGTGGTTATAGGGTGAGACAGTTCCAATCCCAAAATATATCTTTATTATTCCTTTATAAGAGATTTAATGAAAGTTCTCTTTGTTGCAGCCGGCATATAGAACATATTTCTTACAAATTTGCATTTATTTGTATGTACAAATACAGTTTCATATTTGTACTTGCATTAGGATTGAAAAGATTAATGATAATAAGAATAGTAAATATATGTAATTTAATAATTTCTACTAAAAGTATCAAAGTAAGTTTCTTACCCCAGTTCATTAATTAAAAAAATCGAAATCAATATACTCCAACGCATGTCGACACCAAACTTGCAATACCGCTACTGGCACGAATAAATGTCACTCTTATTCTTATATTATTCAACAGAATATCACTGGAGACATCCACGCTGTAAAATACCGACTAATTAAATCAACTGATTATTAGGTTTGTTGATAAGTATAAGTAGGTACAAATCCAAACTATTAATCAGGGGGCAAGACTTTAAAACTTTTAACGGCAAAAGTGAATGCTAATACTAGTGTCAATACTAGCTTGAATGCACTATTCCACCTTCCCTTGCGCTTTCGCTAGTAGTGGGCAAATATTCCATGAATCTTATACATGTGCCTACTTGTATGCAAGTATAATTTATAAAATTTAGTAATTAAACAGATAGTACCTAAATTAAAGGCTACTCTGATAGGAATATACAGGCGAAAAGTTAATATAAAATTATAATAAATTTTATTTATGCTATAAAAAATTCCTTTGTTTTGTTCGTAAAATTATCAAAAATATATTTTACAAATTTTATAAATATTTTATAAATAATATTTATAAATATTTTTTATAAATTTTATAAAAAATAAGGGGTTCAATTTTTCAGCCTAAATGTTTAATATTTTTTTATCAAAGTCCCAGTACTAACAGAAGTATAATCAGTTATTCGGTGTTTAGCAAGGTAAGGAAACGATTTCCAAGCGAAGAAACAACAGTCATTGCTAAATTGCATGGCAACTGAAAATTCGTTCTGGTTTAATAAGCAATACTATCTCATTTGGAGTGGTTATTTATGGCGAAATAAAGAAATCATCTATTATGGAATTATTATACATTGCTTATTTCGGCTGTAATAGAAGGAAGAGGAATTGTGTTTTACGATAAACACACGGAACAAATCTATTAAACTTTGTATATTAATATGAATTCAGTATGAATCGTAAACTCCTATTTTTTATTATTGCAGTATACTTACTTGATTAAGGATCAGTAAGAATTTCTAGGTACATTTCTAGGTATTTTTGCCTACGTAAATGAATATAAACTAGTGAATAAATGAATAGATGAATTATTATAATAATTGAATTAAAAATAACATCTAAGTTAAAATAAGTTCCGTTAATTTTATAAAAATATTATCAAAAAACCAACAATATGTATAATTTAACTAGTAACTAAAAATAAAATTATAACAGAGTCATGAATATTTCATGTTCCTTAAAATGATTTAATTTATAATTAAACAAATTGTGATATATTTTGTACATTAATTATAACAGTAATTTATGTTTAACGGGCAATTTTATTTTTGACAAGTTTGTGTAAAATGTCTTGTCGCTCAAATTCTGTAAAAAATTACCGAATACTTTTTTGTATTATACTTTCCCGATTACTGACTGTGCATTAAAACTAAGGAACCATTTAAACGGAGACTGAAGTCTCGCTTAACAGGAAATTATTAGATTAATGCATCTTCCAGTAAAAATAGATGAGCAGTTTTCTGAAAGCTGAAATTGGTAAGCTAAAATCCTCCAGAATCCGTTTAGAGGTTTTAGTGAACAGTTTAATGGAAATTATATTTTATGAATTGTTGCGGCAAGTACTTAACTATATCCACTAACTTCACAAAAATGGAAATTTCGTTGCACATCTCGTTTAGCAAATGTGCTCAAATATGGGAACACTTAATAACGAGCAGGATATTATTTAGTTAGTATATGATAATTTAGGATTCATTTTTAATTATGTAAGAGAAATTGAATAAAAATGAAAGCTTATTAGCATTTTTGTGGTTGCAAATTTACATATAATGTCATAGTGCTTTACCAAATATTATTAGATAAATAGAGCGCATTTGTTTGTTAAGGACGTTTGGACTCAATAAAGTCTCTACTTTTTATTATAAAAAAACAGTACAATTTTCATATAATCTTCAAGCTATTCATATACCTACTCATTAAAACTTACTTTGTCAATTAGTCCATTCTAACGAATTTACCAATTCGTACTTAAATTCGTAAAAACCATAAAAAGGTTATTGACTTTAATTTTGTGTAATTCACCGACGAAGTATTCAAGTTTCCGTGAAGCCATTTTTTTATAATTGAGAGTTATTGAGCTCGAATAATATTCCGGTTTATACGCGATATTTATTTTACGGCTCATAAAATTTAATACACTGCGTTTTTTAATTAAACCTTTTATTTGCATCTATATGCCACCTAAATATCAAATAACAAACCATATTATTTTAGTTAATACTAGTTCGTTAAGTTAAAATTAATGAATTGTTAATTCCTGCAATAGTGTATTTTCAAGAATGGTGTTAGATAGGTAAAATGTCGCCTAGCGATCGAAGATCGAACGCCAACGAATTGCTTAATTCCCTTCGCTCAGTTTAACTTTTAATTTAGATCGGCGAATTTTTCAGACTTTCTCATTTCGAGGAGCAGGGCACCCTGGGGCAATACGTAGGTACAGGAGTTCCCGAAGGACTGGCGCGACATGAACGGTTTAATCAGCTTGTTGCTACACGAATATCCTTCTGTTTGCTGGCGAGCTTTTTGGCGAGGAATATTTGTATGTCCCTATAGATGCATATTGCCGTATGAGCCTAGTCAAAACTTTTCTTGTTAATACTTTTCGGGGTAGAATTAACGATGAACATAAATGTGTAGCAGGCGATTGTAGCGTGGTGAACTAGAAAGTTGCTTTTTTATTTAAAACGAAAGTGAATTGGACAAGACATTTAGTATTTTTCGCTTAATATACGGCCTGAAAACTATCCTATTCGGGCCGTTTACAACCAGACGGTATAACCCTTTTAAAAATTTATGTTATTACTTAGCACATGGTCTTTACGCCAACGTTCTATTTAGATTGAAATATTTAACGTTGCGAAAGCATAAAAATTTAATGAAATCTCGAAAACACTTCCAGAATATGAAGTGAAGATTCTGCGAAAGGTCTACAGATTGGTATATTGAAAGTAGTTTTCGTTATTGAAACCTTTTTAATATTTCAATATTCATCTAGTTTTTGCACTCAAAGTTATTTCATCTGTAGCACCAAATGAATACCCAAAATGTTTTATACTGGTTTATTTTAATTTTAGCTCCCATAATAATCAAATTTTGTAGTAGATCATTTTTTTTCGGTAATTAGGTACATGCATTTATCCAAATTAAGATATTTAAAGTAAAAATAAGTAATTAGTGAAAAAATAAATTTAATGTTGATGTTTCTCAATTATCCTTAGTAAGTAATAACACTTAAACATTACTTTTTTTAACATGAATAAAATTTAATGGTTAATAAAATAAACTTTTACCTCTTTGAACCTTGAACGACTCGCTAACTTACTGCAATTCAACTATGAAGTCGTTCAACTGAAAAATTAAATTGCTTTTTTTCGCCGTCCAGCCGAACGAATTACCGTTAATTACATATCATAACAATTAATAAGTGCAAGAAGCCATCATGTTAGAATGATTTTTCCAATCAAAATTGCAATAAACCTCGTACGAATCGTTCTTAAAAGAACGAATTTTCCCAAAAACTATCGATTCCCTCGACCCAAACTACAATGCGACCATAAACTTAGAGTAGTTCTGTCCCCACTTAAGAACATCGCAGTCCTTAAGACCGCGTCGCACAACAACCTGGAAACATATTAGTGAGACCCTATATTATTTATTGGTTTCCATGTTCAACTCGAACTGATCGAGTTAGGTGTTCGTTTAGATCGAGTAATGTAAACGGACATACCTGAGACGTTTGGTAACTAAAACTTGACTTATTATACTACACACTAAATCAAATTCACTAACAAGTTTACAGGAAGTTTCCGGCTAGAGTAGATACACCGTCTTTGCACAAAATTCAATCGACATGTCTTCTGAGAGTTCATTAAAGGCCAGAAGAACCTCCCTTCTGACGTATACATTTACAATTAATTTTAGGTTTAGTTGTTGAACGATTCTATTAGGGGTAATTTTTTGGATATTATTTGTAAATAAATGCCCTCGTTTTATGGCTCTATTCTATTTAATAGTAGCTCATTTTGACTGAATATATTTGACAATATTATGCTGTAATGCAGATGCTCGGTGGAATACTCGTTGACATGCGATTTATTTAAGGGGCCAACATTTTTTATGTCACCGTTCTTACATTATTCACTTCAAAACCGTCGGGAATGCGAAAACTTTTTTAAAAAAATCTAAAAAATGTAGCTGTATGAGGTTAGCATAAAGGAAAAACTAAAATATTAACAACTCGCTTTCCTTTTTGCTTTTCGCAGTATGTGTAAGGGGTATCGATGAAATATTGTAACAATAAATGCCGTCATTCCCATCGGGCCCTTTTCAAACAACCAACTTTTCCAAACGGGAAAGTATAGTTCTTTTCTTTTGTTCGCCGGAACTCGTTGATGATACTCCGGAGGCCTACGGAGAACCCGAAACTTTTCTAAACTGCACGACACTTTCCACTCGCTCATTTCTTTTACGTATTTTCACAGTAAACCTGATTCGCATTCGGCACTCGTGGGAAACGATATGCTAATCAAGCGGCTGTTTTTAACGATTCGACCGACGAAAGTACCCGGCGTTTTAGCTTGTTTCCCAATAAATACGATGCGATACGCTCGATCCGGCGAGCTTTCAATCCGAACTTTCCGATGGGATTCGTTTTCCAATCGGGCCGAAAAGTCGCGTTAGTATTTAGTCGTAAAATTTAAAATTCATGTCCCATTGAGGAACAACAACGGCATGCATAGTAATAACGATATGTTTTCGAATCGTTCCTTTATGATCTCTCAGTTCATATCGTAATGTGTTTTGTGTACAGAATAAAATCTCCAAAGACTCAACGCAAAAATTCAATTCAGCTATTTTTATTACCTTTTAATATTTATTCAAAAATCTTATTATTTCTTCATTAATTTTTTTCTTTAATTCTACACATTGTGTGTAAAATTGAGAAATTCACTATTTTCTTTTAAAAGGACATAAAGCTGCTTTCTCTTTTAATTACTCCTAGTAACTTCTAACCTCTTTAAAGATTAAATTTAAAGAGCATACAAAAAGGGAACGGCGGAAATATTTTAATTAAAGCGCATTATTAACAAATCGTCTCGTTTTATCTCTTCAGTCACATATTTTGTCGCCATACCTTTGAACTCTGAACGGAAAGCGATTTTATCAATGTTATTCTTTATTTGGAAAGGGTAAATTGATCCGCTTTTGAGGATGACAAAGGGAACGAATTAATATAAATGCTAAAAATACCGAACGGTTCAGAAATGTAATTTTAGACACGGTATTTTTCTACAAATGCTCACTTTTGGTTGCTATGATACTGGTAATTATTGCGATTTTCTCCTTTCCTCGTGAAGATTTTTAATAATATTAAAGAGGGCTGAAACAATCTACCCTTAAACAAATATTTCAGCAATCTAATATTTTTTATTTTGTTGATCTCGTAAAAATAAATGAACCTTAATTTTCTAGTTAACTCCGGGAATGCGATTTTCATTTCGGAAATATAATTGTATTTTCGTCGTGCGCGGTATTTTCGTCCTTCGCGCAAATATTCTCGCCTTACTTCCCTTTGATGATTATTTATAAAACGAGCCCTTTAGACGCTTTTCATTTGTAGTTACATTAGCTTAGCTCCCGGTGGTCGATGCCGTTTACGTTTTAATGTATGATACCTTAATTGATTAGCTTATGAAGTGTATCAAAGCCCCCGTTACCTCGCAAAGGAGAGAAATATATTCAACGGCTAGTGGATAGATATCTGCCAGTTTTTTTTTTGGGAAAAACTAGCTGGGAGTATTGGATATACTCTAATAAAATATAGCGGCGACTAAATATGATTTGATGATTAAAGAATATTTTAATGAAGACACATAGGCAGTATGAAGGATTTATCTATAGAGCAAAAACAAGAAATGACGTAAAAATTAAATAGCTGATAACTAAATATTTTGGTAAATTAAACAACGTTTTTATTGAGCATTTTAATGTACAGAGCCTAATTAACCATCGACAGCGTAAGTGCACCTTGAATTCAATTACTTCATTATGTTTGGAAACTTGGACGAAACTTTTTTTCCTCTTTCCGAGTTAAAGGAAAAGAGGAAATAGACCCTTAATATCGTCTGGATGCTGGGGCAGGGCCATTATCTAGCGCAAGCGTCGCTTAGCGTCGCGACGGCACTTGTTTTGCGTTCAGTGTGTTTTCCGATTTTCAGGATGCTGGTTAGACCCGGTATCGTCGTTCCCATTTGAATGTTTTCCCGCGCAGTTTTCCACTCTTGAGAGTGCATTCGGAAAATTCGTTCGCCGGCATGCGGTCGCCCGTTTTAAATGCTGTAATGAAAAAACTTGTTTCGATGCTGATGAATGATGACATTTCGGTGTGAATAGTACCGTGAGAAAAACGATGAAAAATTCTCCATAAAACTTACGAACATTTATGGCAAGTAAACTTATTTTGTAAACTTTTGATACAATTTTTTTCTGCTACTTTTTTTTTAAGATAATTTATTTAAAATTTTTAAATTTTTGTAAACATATAGAACGCCTATTAAATTTTAATTGACAAATTAATTGCACAAGTTACCTTTATTCCCTATAGATTATTTTTATTTTTATACTCTTATTGTTTAGGTAAGTACCTAGTTGAAATACAATTTAATTAAAAAATATTTTTGCAAAATTCTGTATAATTAAAATTAAATAAGCGAAATGATACAGTTATTTTTTGTATACCTCTATATTTAATTTAACACTAATAAAATAGTCGAACAAAAAATTTACATGCTCTGTAACTATAGCCTATTGCGCGGGTTTTGAGATAAATTTAATTTAAAAACATTTAATGATTATTACAATGCTGAAATAATTAATATATAGAATGAATTTACATTATTGTTTCCTCCCTTATTTTATAAAAAAAATAATGGAACAACCTGGTTTGAATTAATTCGTGTTCCTTTTTCTCCAAATTTTCTTCAATTTCTATATAAAAGGAAAACGGGAACAACGCCGACAAGATTCTTGGTCCAAATTTCATTAGGTATTTCATCGAAATATTTCGAGATTGTTCCGGGGATAATCTGCACTTGAGGGTGCTCCATTCACTCGGTCCACATTTCCTGGTGTCAGCTTTTGAGGTCAGCTCCTGATATTTTCTAATATATTTGCGAAAGACTGATAAGACCCCGTTATTTCCTACACTGCGCCGTTTCGGCAGAAAAACCCAGAATAGAGGGAATATTTAGTCGGCCGGATTGATTTTATTCGTCCCATTGTTGCCTATACAGGGACGGGAAATAAATTTAAATAAAAATAATAAAATAAATAGATACTAAAATATTTTATATAAACTTGAATAATAAAAATATACAATATAATAATTAAATGCTTTATTTAAATATTAATAAACTAATATGTGGATTTTCTTGTTTTCAAAACAGGCAAATTAGTTTCAACTGAGAGGAGATTTTGTTGAATTTCTTGTTATCCGCGGAAGTTAACATTTGTCGCATGAATTCGCGCTCATTTGATGCGAAGAGGACGACCGACCGCGTAATTTGGAATCATCTACGGAGAAGTAAACGACAGGGCCGTTTGTCAAACGAGCACGAAACTGACTGGATTGGCTAACCAATCAGAAATTCTGAACGTATGCAATTTTAGAACGAAGTAAAACGCCAGAAAATTCCATTCAATTCGCATAAATCAAACGTATAGTCAACCGTATTTGGAGCGTTCGTAATTCGATGAAAGGTTGATTGGTTGGGTTTTTTAAATTAAATGGTTATTTAAGGCAATTTTCACATATTTGCATACCTTATTAAAATAAAATTGATAACCATGCGAGTAAATAAAAATTAGCATTATACATCTACGACTCGAATACTCGATAAACGCGCAGTCCAGATACATAAATGGTGAATAAATTAGTTCCATTTTCCCCTTAAATCTAAGTTTAATTCTGAATCCCAGAGCGGATAAGATCCAAATGCAATTTTTACATTTTCCGGATGTTAATCGATCAACTCAGCAATCTTGCGAGAGTCCTTTGAAGATAAATTTCCATTCCTTGTCATTGTTACCAGATATTCGCTGATTGAGCTTTGTCTGTTGTAATTGGCCCTGAGTATCAGCATCTTTAGTGTGGCCTGCCTATATCTTGTTAGAAAAATATAAAGTCCTTTGAGGATTGTGGTGGAGTTAATTCGGTCTGAATATCGAAGTTTGCCGGCATTTTCCAGCTGAATTTTTAATTAACAAAGCGAAGTAAAAGATTGAGTTCGGTTATGATACAGTCGATTTGAGTATTAAAAATAGAATAAGTGAAAGGTCTTCTGTACTTATTATTCTGAGTAAACTTAGGGCCGATTCAATAAAAGCGTTAAAGTACCTACCCTTTAAGAGAATTTTATGATAGTGTCATTTAACCTAAAATTGACACTTTAATTTTAAATTTCACTTTAGGCTTAAAGAATCCTTTAACATGATTATGAAATCTAATAAATCTATTAACGGATACTTAAAATTAAAGTATCCTTTATGTCACTTCATGAAATCTGCCGTTAAAGCAGTACCTAAAAGAACTGAGCAATAATTTAATTACAACATTCACCAATATATTTCATTAATATTAGTACGAAGTAGATGTTTGTTAAAACTCCATACAAAATCATATTCAAAACTCGCTCGAATTCACCAGTAATTTTTCTTTATAGATTCGCCCGAATATCACCTTTTTCTCGTCAACCGTTCGAGGGACTCCCCTTATTTAAAACGCGACGGATTCCAAAAGATCCCAATTGAGTTATAACTTCGAAGAAGTTGGGCATCGCGCCCTCGTATATTTGGAACTCTTCTTATAAAAAGATTAGCCCCGGCTAAAGCGCGATCGCTATACGGTCGACAAATGTCCGCGATTTTACTGTAATGGGCGGACTGAAATCCAGTCGGGGCCAAGTCGGGCGTTAGTGACCCTTCTTCAAGTTGGTGGAAGGTCATTCAGGCAATTGAATTGCTTCTGTTTGGAATTTTTTAATTTAATTTTTAGATTTAAGATTTCTTTTAACTATTATTCTGCTTGTATAGCGAATAAAAGTTGGAGGATAAATTATAACCAGTACCTGACCGGGACCTCAAATGGGGCAATTTTTTTCATAAACTGTCTTACTTGTTCCTTTATGGTTTTAATGATTAATATTGCTCATAACCTGTAGTTATGCATATTCTCGTAAAGAGGGTAAGCCCCTTTAAACCCTTGCGGCTTTCTGTGCCTACTCAATTTCTTGCGATTGTGACTTATGTATGAAGATATGTCGTTGTAAAATTATTGATCTATGTATGTATGTATGTATGTACGTACAGTTTCGAAAAAAAAAAATGACTGTAGTTGGAAAATATGAGACAATTAAAAAGATTTATCATCCATAAAACCAATCAACCGGTTTATTCCGGAGCGAATAAAATCAGTCGGAGTTTTTTAGTGCGTAGGAAACCGCTGCGTTTAAAAAACATTTATCTTCTTGATCGTCATGGGTTCTAATTATTATTGCTCTGGTATCTAATGTCATAACTCTGTTTTTCAGTTTCCCTCTTCTCCGACGGCTCGGGCTCCTTTCTTTCCCCATCTTTCGAGATTCCTTTTGTGTCGTTGAGTCAACACGACGTAATATAAATTTTCTTTTTTCGCGGTCCGTCTTCGAAACATCCCCTAATCCGCATAACAAAGTTTTCATGTTCTTAATTATTTTCCATCCGCCTTTGTGGGAATGTATAACTCCACGGGACTTTTTTGGTTAAAGCGACGATGACACGGCTTATAATGTTGTGGCCTATTTATTTATACAAGGGAATTTCGCCGATTGCTTTGAAATAATTTTCTCGTTTGAGGACTTTTCCATTTCAATCCGCCCGAGAGATATATCCGGAAGGAATGAAAATAATGAATTTGCTTTCTATTGCTTTTATTATATTCTTCGGTGGAGATTTTTTTAATAATAATCAATGATGATATAATTTAATAATAAATTAATTTTTATTAGTTCATTGCTTAATATTGCGTTTAATGATATTAAATTAGAGCATAAAAATTGGGTTGGCATTATTCGTAATTTGATATGTATGTATATAATTATACCTAGGTGTCTACATAATTTTAAATTTATGTATTTAAATTATACACTACACTTATAGTTTTTGATGCATAAATATATTATTCATAAACTCATTTAGTAAAGTAGGCAGGTAGTTTTTTTACAAAGAGCTTCTCCATTCGAACAGTTCAAAGGTTGCAAAAGATAAAGATCATAAAGGTGCACCAAGCACCTGAATGTCTTTTTGCGTTTCTGTTCCTACTGTATCTATAGAAATGCGCATTTTTGCATTTCGCAAAAATAGAGTATTAATTATTGAGAAAGATGTCGGATTTTTTGAGCACCTTCAAAGCTCTTATAATAATAAACAAAAAAAATGTACGCTCTGATCTATCAAAAATAACTAAAATATCAAATCTAATGCAGCAGTTTGCAGCGGTCGGAAATTACCCGTAATTTAAAAAATTTCTATTTCTGTATTCGTGTTGCGCTATTCCGCAAATATTCTGCAACTTCGTAATTTTGGTTATTATCCTACCGAACGGCTCGATTTCCATATCGCTTCATGCCTCATTCCGACGAGTTTTACGTTAACAAAATTGTTTTTATCTTTATTAAACGAATTCCCAGAAGTTTTCTATCTTTAATGGCACCACCTTCGGTTCAAACGAACTGATCCCATCGCTTTCTCATCATATTCAGCGTACGTTTTGTTAATGACGTTAGCAAACTTCAGCTCTACTAAGTAATCTCCTTGCAGCTATTCTTGTTAAACTTATTAGTATAAAATGTACTAATACTGGAGCTCTAAGGTAATTAATATTATTAGGTTAAAAACGTTGACAGTTTATAAAACTTGTGGATGGAATGGAAAAGGAGAAAATTCGTTCTTCCTTCATTTAATTTTCCACAATTTCAGTTCAATCATCTAGGTACTTAATATTGAGATTTATGATGTTTTGTTTTTTGTTTCAGGTGAGCAATCAGGTATATTTAATAAATGTAGTAAGTAACTTCATGGTTTCTAATACTAATTTATATTTTTAGTATATCTCTTTATATCTCTAAAAGGCAAGCAAGTGCGAAAGAATTAAGAAGAACCAAATTTCCTTCTTAATCTTAATTACAATTAACTTAGCTCCATATAAGTAACTGGTATCAGACAGTTAATTTCCGGCTTTGCGCTCATTTCGGACTAATCCATTTAATTTGAAATTAAGAAAAGAATGTGGCATTCATCTTATCAACTTGCGGCAAAAAGGCAAGACAAGCAGAAACCTCTATCTCGCCGTCCTTATATATCCGTAATTAAAACCATGCCCCCATTAAATTTCCATCTGGGCAAACACAG